GTGTAAACGTTCAATAAACCCACACCTGATGGGGGCAGTCTCGTCGCCCTTGTCCAGCCATTCCTGCGGGGGAATGATGTACATGCACCACAGTCCCCAGTTGTAGCCGTGGGCGGCGTTGGCGTACTGCTGCACCTCGAAGGTGTTGTACTTGATGTTGTCGATGGCCGGCAGAATGATGCGAGAGTGGTCCTCCTTAATACGACTGAGGATTGGTTCAGCCCTGCACGCCGGAACAGGAAGGTGAGTGAAGGGGAAAAAACCTTCAACGGAGTTCAATCAAAGTTGAACTGCAGGTCAGAGTTCAACATTTCATAGAAGAAACAACAAGAGATGTGAAAAAAAAACAAACAAAAAACAGATGGGTCAAAAAAAAAATTCTGATTCCTTGAGTACTGAAAAAAGATGTGAAACAAAGTAGTTTTACAGTGTCCGGTAGGGGGCGTTCTCGCTGTTGGGTGTTTTTTTTACACACATTAATAGAAAGAATTTTGGTTCATTTAATTTATTCAGTTGTCATGTGTTTCATTTTTGGGATTTCTTTGGAAGCACTGAGTACTGCTAAAGATCACTGTGAAAGATCACTGCTAAAGATCACTGCGAAAGATCACCGCGAAAAATCACTGCCAAACATCACTGCTAAAGATCACTGCGAAACATCACTGCTAAAGATCATTGCGAAAGATTACCGCGAAAGATCACTGCTAAAGATCATTGCGAAAGATACCGTGAAAAATCACTGCTAAAGATCACTGCGAAAGACCACCGCGAAAGATCACTGTGAAAGACCACTGAGAAAGACCACTGTGAAAGATTACCGCGAAAAAACACCGCGAAAGATCACGCTAAAGATCACTGCTAAAAATCGCTGCGAAAGATATTTTTTCTTCAAAACGCCGTCTCACATCTGTCGCGGTAAAAAACACGTCAGAATATTTCAGTCAAACTGCAGATCACGTGACAAGAGCGGGGCCAATCACGGCCTCCCGTGAAACTGAAACCCGAAGCTTCTCTCACCAGCCGGTGTTGAACTCCACGTGGGCGTCGAAGAAGCCCACCACGGGGGAGGTGGCCGCGTTCCACCCGTGGATTCGGGCTCGGATCAGCCCCTCCCTCCTGCTGTTCCTCACTATTTTCACGAGGCCGGGGTAACGTCTGTTCACGTACTGGTCCAGGTTGAACTTCAGCTCCACTGAAAAATAAGAGCAGAAAATTTTAAAATGACATTTTGTCTAATTAATTCATTAATTAATTCATTAGTTAATGAATTAGCACGGGCGATAATATGTTCATTTGAAACGTATGTTTGATCTCAATCGTTAGTCTAAATCGCACTCCCTATATCTCAACTTTTTACTATTTCTTTTATTTTGCTAACAGTGTGTACAGCCCGTCTTTTCAAAATAAAAGCCGCCAACCAAATATACTCCGTAAACATCGTAATTTCCCACACATATTAAATCATATAAATCAAACATACATACATTTCCAAATGATGTTTAATTAATAATTAGACAATAATTTAAGTAAATATGTGGTAAATGTCAGGGCTGATCTGAGATTCTGCTGGGGTTGTTAACACAACAGATGGAGGCCCGGGGGGTGGGGCAAGGTGGGGGGGCGTTCACCTACCACTGTCGCTGTTGTCGTCCACCAGGATGATCTCCTTGAGCAGGTGTGACGGCGTGTGGTTGACCACGCTGTGCACCGACCGCAGGATGACAGAGAGCGCTTCGTTGACAAAGATGAAGACCACGGAAATCTGAGGCAACTCCTCTGGGTACGACAGCTGCCTGCACCTGGGGATTGAAGTGAACAACACCGTCGTCAACTTCGTCGTCGTCGTTTTGGACGCAACAGTCGCCAGACTTTCACGTTGCTTTGGTTTATTTTGGCCAGGCTACAGAGAACGCCGTAGTGACTGTTGGCTTGGTTTTTCATTTCAAGGTTTCCCGTCTTCACACATTCCTTTCTTTATGAGAAGATGACATTGATGAAGTGACATAAAACACTGAGTGTACTGTTACACTCTCCACTGTCCCTGTGTTTGTCTTGTTCTCCGACACCGTGACACTTCAGCTCATGAATGGACGAAGGAATGTCAGAGTAGACAGAGCTGATTATCGCTGTCATCAATATCACTGTCATTATTATCACTAATTTAATTATTGTATTTCATATTCCCTGATGGTGTCCATCCAGTTCTACAATAGTCTTGAGACTTTGGGGATTTTTAAGATGATCCATAATTATTTATAATAATGTTTTATTTATTAAAAATGTGATGTTGTTCAAACATATACTTCTCATATTTGTTCCTTCAAAACTACTATCACACTGAAATGTGAAACATTTACGCGTATACATATATATATATACTGCATATACATATACATATACATACATATATACATGTATATGTATACATAGACATATATACATATATACATACATACATATACACATATATATGTGTATATGTATGTATGTATATATGTATATATGTCTATGTATACATATACATGTATATATGTATGTATATGTGTATATATATATACATATATACATGTATATATGTATGTATATGTGTATATATATATACATATATACATGTATATATGTATGTATATGTGTATATATATATACATATATACATGTATATATGTATATATATATACACATATACATACATATATACATGTATATGTATACATAGACATATATACATATATACATACATACATATACACATATATGTGTATATATATACATATACATATATACAGTATGTATATATATGCAGCTAAGGTATATATACATATATACATATATATGTATATATATATGCAGGTTGGTAAGTATGTATATTGTTTCCTTATTTTTATCCTCTTGTTTTTATGTAACTTCTTGTTCAGCTTTGTTCAGTCAAATTCCTTGTATGTTCTCATCCTTGACCAAAAAAATGTATTCTTCAAATGTTAGTAACAGTAAAATACTCAATATATCCTTGTGCCCATAACATTGCAGCATATCGCGATATATCGCACTGTTGCCACTGTATTGTGACCCGTATTATTTCACCAGTTTTAACACAGCCCTAATTCCAAACCCTGCAGATCTTTTATTGGAAACTTTAGAACTTTTTAGAAAATGTGTGAAATGATCAGAACAAACAACGTACTTTTTGGGTCTGTAGTCTGGGATACTTCTGTCTAGGGAGATGCGGTCGCTCAGCTGAGCGTTGTAGCCGTACTCCTCGTACTTCCCTTCCGCCTCTCTGCTATCCTCACCCAGGGTGGCAGCAGCGCCCCCCTGGCCGAGTCCTCCCGGTCCCTCCACCAGGCCGATGGGCTTTGCTAAACCTGCCAAACAAAAAAAAAAAAGAAAAAAAAGAGAGACAGTCAGGGTGAATGTGAGATGAGAAGAGGGGGTACCTGGGGGGGTCACGCTGAGATGAAGCCCACTGAGATCCTGGACGGGTGTCATCGTGATCGTACCGCAGCTCAGAGACCCGGCTTGTACAGAGGGTATCATTACACAGGCTGTTGGTGACAACGCCGCGGAACTCACACGGACAGAGACGTCAACGTAATGAGCAGAGGAGAACAAGAGAACAGAACAGTGGAGCAACGGATCCACGGTGAACATCTCTGAGTCCTGTCCACGGGCAAAAGTCCGAAACAGTGGGAACGTAAAAAAAAAAAAAAACACGTAAAGATAATGACGATAAGTCTCTTTTGACAGGTATTTGACTTCCGTCAAAGTTCACACCACAGAGTAAAGAATGGAAAAAATCTCGGGATGTCCGATAATATCGGCCGATCGATATTATCGGCCCGATCTTAACATAATTATGTAATATCTGTAAAAATCGTTATAGCTTTTCCTCCGACAATGAAACCCAATAACGCAATGCCAGGGGTTCACTAAATAATGTGTGCCCTAAAAAATTTTGTTTTTGGGGATAAACGGCTGTATATTCAAGTGGAAGTCACTAGATGGTAGCATTGCATCTCATTTTATCGGGGGGGGGGGCGGGGGGGGGGAGTTAAGATTCTGAGAAACCAAGCTTTTTTCATCACCTTAGTGAGCAGGCGGCACTTAACTTCCTCGACCACCAGGACCACCACTGCCCTGTATATATATATATATGTATGTATACATATATATATATGCTATATATATATATAGCAGTATCGGTTGATATCGGAATCAGAAATTAAGTGTTTGGACAATGTTGTGATATCGGCATAAAGTTTATATCGAACATCGCCTTAAAAAAATCAACTAACTGATTTAAAATAGAGTTTAAATAATTTTAATAAATATTTAAGTTCTGTAAGTTCTTATGTTCGCCACCGTGTTCGAGGGTTCCTTCCAGGATCTCCATCTTCCTTTAATGGTAACCTTTGACCTATGACCCTGACCAGCATATAGAGCAGAGAATGAATGGAAGAATGGGATTTGGACTCTGCTCCGGGGCACAGCCACTTATGTTGGCGGGATGTGGAGGGGATTACAATGGAATCTGGAAGCTGGAGTGAATCTCGCTGCCTTATTCTCTTCCTCTCCCCGCATGCCACGCTTCGGTGACGCTCCATAATGTGGATGCTCTCACTCTTAGACTGTGGCCTGAGAATGGGTTCGTGTTCAAGCCTGAAAAAAAATTTCTCCTGTGTGGAGTTCTCTCTGCGATATCTACTGTGTCCGCTTTGTCGCTTTATCTCTGCCAAAACAGCTGCGTGTTGTCAAAGTCTAAAATACTATATTATCTATACTATATACTATATATTACTATATTCAGTTTACCTCCGGATAAAGTTTTTAAAGATTAATCCTTCTGTCAGGGGAGCTGGAGCCAATGCTAGCGGCTATTGGATGAGGGCGGAGTCAGGGTTAGGGTTTCATTGTCGTCGCCGTCCAAAAAATAAGCCTCCGAAAAAAGTTGATAAATTAAAATGTCATTACTTAAAAGAAGGGATAATGCTTAATAGTCGCAGGTTTGTAAAGTACTGAATGGAGTCTACGATAATATTTGTCTTAGGCGATACGATATAAGTCGATGCTAATCTGCTATGCTAAACTATAGTTTGTGGATTTTTCTAATAAGGTCAATGAACATTTGAGGCTGGAATACCAACAAAATTAGCGGTGTGTATTGTCAAAAATCCGGCGACGTGATACGTATCACAATACAGGGGCAACGATACGATATATCGCGATAATGTAGGCGCAACGATATATTGAGTTTTTTCCCAACAATGTAACTGTAGTCAAAGGTATGACAATATATGACTGGGAATTTGGGGATAAAAAGGAGGAGATTGATACGGGATCAGGATAAGGAGATATCGCGATATTTCAGCGGAGGGATATTTTCATACAGCCGTGGTTGTGTTGTGGCACAGACCACGGCCTAATTTGCATACATATACATATCATACATATACATATATACACATATATAGATATATGTGTATATATGTATACATATATACACATACATATATATACATATGTATATATGTATATATACTGTACATATATGTATGTATATATATATATATACATACATATACATATATACATATGTATATATGTATATGTATGTATATACTGTATATATATGTATGTATATACTGCATATATATGTATACATATATACACACCTCATACCTCATACTGCACAACAACAAACAGGCACATGGAGATGTGTATCATTAGGATAAGGTCAAAGTGTGTGTGTGTGTGTGTAGAAGAGTGTGTGATGTTCCTCACTCGCCCCCTCCACCCTCCCCCCCATCACACTCTGGCCCCGCAGGCTTAGCATATAGACAGCATTGCTTTCTCCGCTGTAATTGCACGTTTGAGATAAGAAGCGTATCTGGCTCCGCGGCTCGGCCCGCTCTGCCTTCCCATCAGCGCATAAACAGAGCCAGGCGGGAGTGATGTGCATGGCTGATGAGCCTCTGGACCACAGCCCACCTCAAACAATGACTCATCGGGCAGTAAAATATCGGAGCGGTCACTTCAATCATTTCAACAATCGTCAGTTTTAAGAGCGTGCCCCCCCCCCCCAAGTCTGGAGGATAAACGAAGGGTGTAATAAAAAGTATCGTTACACTGAAATATCGTGATATTTCCATTTCCTGATCCCGTATCAATCTCCTCCTCCATCAGTTATTGATTTTTTTTCTCACCAATATTCCTGGTGTTGGTTCATTTTCTTTTTCTTTTCTTTCTTCTCTAGTGATTCCAAATCTAGATCCCTCTGTTCCAGTGTTAGGAACTGATGTTCAGATGGAACAGAGTCTGAGACTAGGATCACACTGGGACTACAGTGACACTGGGGGGAAAAGAACACCCAATATCGTTGTGACTACAGTATCGCAACATATCGTATCGTTGCCCCCGTATCGTGATACATATCGTATTGCCAGATTCTTGCCAATACACACCCCTGTGCGGAAGTAAAGTTACACTAGGGGTCTGGGGGGAGCACACTCAATATCGTCGTGACTACAGTATCTCAATATATCGTATCGTTGCCCTGCCTGTATCGTGATACGTATCGTTTCCGCTAATTTTGTTGGTGTTTCTGCCTCAAACGGTCATAGAGAAATGAATTCTCTATTTTCATTTAATGAGAAAAAACCAACAACAAAAACAATAAATATTTAGATATTCAGGCTTTAATCTTTATCTCAGTGCTCCTGAATTTAAATGTAATTTTTTTTTTCCAATTCTTGAATTCTCTCAGCTCTAATTGGTCCACCGTTTAACCCGCACAGCTAATTATGGTAGATTATAAACAAGAAGACGTCTGGCTGGTCATTATAACTGGTCCACAGGGTCAATCGTTGACTTCAGCTGTTGCCAACGGCTACTGGGGAGTATTTATGGTCTGTGCACAATGAGCTGGGATTCAAGGATATATGATTAAAGGACTCAAGGACTCAGGAAAGAAAAAAACAAAAAACCAAGATGATGTTTTCCATCTGTGTGCTCCTCTCACTATCCATTCCCAAAGGAGGATTGGAGTTGATCACATTTCATGGCGTGAAACCTCCATTGACCCCAGTTTGTTAGTGAGCAAATTCTAGGTATAAATTATCCGGTACATCGGCAAAAAAAAAGAAAAAAGTCTGACAGAAAGTATTTGTCACCAATGTTTATATCGTTGCCCTGTATTTTATTCTTTTTCTGAAGTCCAGATCCTCTTTAGATGAAATGTTTACTCGAAAGCCTAGTTCCAGTAGGTGGCGTTAATGACACTCCCATGTTCGCAGGCGGGGGGGGAGTTAGCTAGCTTAGCTTATAGCCAAGCCTTGGTGAAGACATTTGAACACATCTGATATAATCACTGACGTCAATCTTGACGACATATCGCAAAACAAATCCCACGTCATTACAACCCGTGTTATGTATCAAAAATTGTTACTACTGTTATTGGGGCTTGGGGGTCTGTGGGGTGGGGGAGTGTTTAGGATGTATCCTACCATTTAACTGGTTGTAGACCACGTCCTCCAGCCTCTCAAGTCGCTGGAGAATTGACTGTCTCTCCACGGAGTTGGGAACTTTACCATTCCTGGTCCTCAGCCTCTGATCGGACGCTCGTCCCAGCTGGAGCAGCTCTCCAGATCGGTCTTGGATCCTGCAGTACACCGAGAACAGGATGATCCCCACGAACACGAGGATGTTGACGGTCAGCAGGGTTTTGATTTTGCGTGCCAGAGCCATGAACGAGAATCAAGACCGGCCGACTCGGTCGAGCCGGCAGCTGTCCGTGCCTGGTGACCCCGCTGCGTCACCTATCGACGTGGTGCGGAGGAACTGACGGGAAGTCGAGCCGCTCTCTTCAGCACCACGGACAGCTCAGGCGAGGACGTCGGCAGGGAGTCCGCTCCTTCTCTCAGTGGCGCTTATCTCAGGCCTTCATCGGCCGCTCTCTCCTCAGCTACATTCTACGAACGCGGTGCGAATCGCTGAGAGAGACGGTTACTCGGTTACGCGGCCAAATATATTCTCCAGTCCACATCGTTACAAGTCGCCAGTTGCCACAACCCCCCCAAACGCCTCCTCCATCCCGAAGATGACAGCCTCTAACAAGTGCTCACGTCCGAGCATCCTCGGCTGCCGACGTTCGGTCGCTGCTCCTCTCTGCTCGAAGCCGACGTGGACATTGGCTCCATCCCGCTCCGCGAATCGCATCCAGGGAAACTCGAATCTATAACATAGGTGAACGCTTCCAAAAAAAAAAAAAAAACCAAAAAACGGGGCGTCGTTCTGTCTCCCTTCTGTCCGTACGTGTGTGTGTGTGTGTGTACCCTCCTTCGACTCTTCTCTCTGCGTTCTGATACGATCCCGCTGCTGGTTCTATTCCTGCCGCGGAGCAGGAGAGCTGCTGAAAATGGATTCGTCCTCTTATGTTGTCGAATGCTCGGTGTTGTCAGCAGAGCTGTGCCCAGGCTCTTCCATGCTGTCTCTACTCCCTCCTCCCTCCACCACCAGCCCTCCGTTCTATGGAAGGCTCGGAGAACCGTCGCTGCGTCGCTGACGTTCGGGGAGGACGCATTCATGAATATTAAGGAGTATAGTTTAAAATTAAAAAAAATATATATACAATAATAATGCTAATAAAGAACAGCGTCATCGTGTGGACTGTGAACGACGCGGATCAGGGTTGAATTAATATCCACGGAACGATAAGGCGGAAACTTAAACGTGGTATTTTTGATTATTTACATATAAAACAGTGTGTTTTTGAAAACCCAATTAAATTCCGTCCATTCTCAGTTGACGAGTTTGTGGAACGTCAGTAACACCGAAGTACACACTCCAGCCGGTACGTGGCGGTAAAAAAAAACTAAAGTCTTTCTCGGTGTTGGATGAGGGTGGGGTTACACCACTGACATTTTTTTCTAGTCCAATCATTAGTTTACACTCAGAAACTAAACAATTCACGCTTACATTCACACTCACGGTCAATTAAGTGTGAATAATTAAGCTAATGCTATCACCTGCCGCTGAGAAAAAAAATGTTGGGTGTATATTTATATTTAGGAATAGGGCCGTGTAGTCTGTGGTCCAATATG